TGAGGTTCTAAACTGAAGCACAAGATTGGCTGTAAAGGTTTTCTTTTAGAGAATTTTGCTTCTCCCTTTATAATTTATGATCTGTAACATTTATAAATATAATAAACCCAAGAGGAGCCTTAGCTATTTCCTTGGGCCATACTACATGTCACATCTTCATCCCTTGTCCCAAGCTGGTCAATTAATTCCGTTATCCTTCCTTCTTAACTTCTGGCATGACTGAGTCTGGTTAAAATAACCTCTTACCCTTTGACCTTTTTCTTCAGGACTTCCTGACTGATTTGGTGATGTCTGAGGTAGATCGTTGTGGGGAACATGATGTCTTGATCTTCAGGGAGAACACACTTGCTACCAAAGCTATTGAGGAATACCTAAAGTTGGTAGGGCAGAAGTATCTTCACGATGCACTAGGTAAGAAAGTGCCTGTCTCTCCCCTGTTTGCATTGCAAGGGCTAATCCTGAACTCTGTGCAACACGACTGAAGCCTCGTGCATCTAGGAATGTGGGATGGGAAGGAACTGCCTTGGCATAAGCCCGGGTGTCTAGTGTCCCGATATCAGAATGCATGCTGTGTTACTCTTCATGCCTTTCCTCCACACAGAGGAAGATGTTCTTTGGTGCCTGCAGGAGTAGCACCCAAGGAAAGGCAAACTGGATTTGATAGAGCTGAGTCCCTCTTAAATTTTGTATCACCACGTTTTGTTTTTCTGGGTGACTTTCTTTTGTGTCTCTAGTTGTGATGAAGTATAATACTGCAGCTGATTTGTGGGCAGTGGTGATTGTTCCCTCTGATAAATGAACAGCCTTAAAAAAGGGATTTTGGCACGTAGTTTCACAGCAGAAATTGAGACCGTTGTAGTGTCAGGAGTGAATCTGGTATCATGTGCAACACAATTAGGTGGAAATTTCAGAAAGGATTAGGAATGTGAAGCATATATTTCACTAATCTCCTTTTATGCTAACGAAGCTGCTGCACTCATTGAGGCTGAGGGGGTTAGAAATACTCAGGGGTAGCTGGTTGACAACCCAGGTTCTCATCCACAAGTGTGTGTTGCTGGGGTACCTCCAGTCAGGGTTTTTCACTTGCTGTTGTAGTTAACAGCAAATCTTAGCTGTGGTGTTAACAAGTGTTGAGCATGAGCTGCCCACCCTAGCATTTGGGTTGAATGCAGATAGTACAAAAATAATTCATGTCCAGATGCTTCAGCCACAACTCTTGGTAATGCTGGCACATTCCAGAGTGACCCTTGGACTTGCTCAGCCCTTACTTTTGCCACAGAGCAATTAATTTATAAACATTTGTGTTAACCTTTTAAACTGGTACCTTGCCCCAACAAACAGATAAACATGGCCAGAGAGTGTGAGGCTCCAGGGCTGCTGAGCAGCAGAGGGCAGGAGATCAAGATGCAGCCCATCTAGGGAGCCTCCTGCCTGTGTTTATCCAAATGCTCTTTATTCATCACCTCGTTCAACTGCCTGGCCAACCTGTGATGTCCTACTCCATTTCCCCGGCAAGTTCTTAATGTCCATGGTTACATGCCGGGGTGGATTCTGATAACTGTGTTATTGTCCTCTCTCCACCAAAAGGTTTTGCTCTAGTCATAAGCCACTGCCTTGGGAATTACTGTCCACACAACTAATACTGCAGTAAAGGCTGGATGAGGCTTTGAGCAACCTGGTCTAGTGGAAGGTGTCCCTGCTGATGGCAGGGGGGTTGGAACTGGATGAGCTTTAAGGTCCCTTCCAATCCTAACCATTCTATGATTCTATGAAAGCTGACCAAAAATGTGCACATGCTTTCTTCTGAAGAGACTCAGGGCCTTGATATGGTTCTTTCACCAACTCCACACAATCTTTGTTACCCAAGGTTGCACAATGAGCCACCCATCCCCCTGTTGTTTCTGGGATGAAGAAAGCTTTGGAAATTGATACAAGAGAAACAAGATCAGGCCAAAGCCAAGTCCCACACCACATCCTTTCACAAAAAAAAGAAAAGAAAAAAAAAGGCAGCTTGCTTTCCCAGCAGTCTCGCTTGTTCTCAGCAATCCCAGACGCTGGCAAGTCATCAAGGAGATAGTTGGCGAAATTAGTGTTCCAAGGGTCAGTGTAGTCAGGTCTGTGATTATGTGCGTTTTGGACATTTCTTAAGTGAAATGAGCCTGTTCTGATATTCTTATTCTCATGAGCAGAACTACTGAGCACAAGTCGCAGTCCTAGGCTCTTGCTTGGTGCAGAGAAATGAGCAGCAGATTACTTTGTCCTGTGCTTTTCAGCAGATCAGTTGTGGCACCAGCATGTTACATTTGACTGCAAGCCCCTTAATGTGCAGTAATTACATAAAAATAGTGTAAAACTAATGACTTCTAATACATAATTTACAGCATTGGTGCTGAGTGATAAGGTTGGAAATCAGACATGAGAGATGGAAAATCCCTCTAAGGTCATCCAGCTTGTCTGTAGCTCAGGGCAAGAGATTGCTCATGACCACATACCCATCTAATTATTTGTCAAGTTTTAAATGTCATTGTGCTCAGATGCCACGTTCTTTGAAAGGATTAACATTAAGCTTGGTCTTAGCTACTTAATACATCCATAAGAGCATCTTACTGTATGATGAAGGCAGGGTCTTGTGGACCACAAAGAATGAGTTTCAAACGTGATTAAGGAAAAAAAAAAACAAAAATCCAGTAAACACCAGTTAGAATAGCACTGGCTCAACAGAAGTGATGCCGAGAGTTTGGCAAATAAGTGATCTAGATGCCCTCAGCAGAAATTTTTTGGACCCTAATAGGGGAAAAAATTAAAAAAGCAGCTTAAAATGTGCTGCCTGCTTTGCTTGCAAGAACACTGCTGACTGAGATTTGGGGAAGGGGGTTGGGAGGTGTTTAAGGGTTTTTTATGAAAACAAAGACAAAAAAAACCAAAACTCTTTTGCATAAATGAGCCTTGTGGTATTAGCTCAGAGCCAGCAAGATCATCTGAGGAGATGAACTTAAAAGACATTGCATCATTAAATGCATGAATAAAGAGTTTTTCCTAGTGAACAACAGTTTAAAAACCATTTGAAGTACCAGCATATATAGGAGGAAAATGACTAAGTAGTTCATTCCAGTGTGTTGAACAGAGGAAACTTCATCTGCTTTTGTATGTGACCAGTTTCTGTTGTGATGCTGCAAGAGAAAGATGACAGAAATGCAAAGGATTTTGAAAGATGCAGGCTATAAAAATGTCGTAAGGTGTTGATAAAAGAGACTGAGAAAATTAGCAGTCTCTAGCTAGCACTGGGGTATTACTCTTATTCAAGAGCAAGGTGACACTTTTAAAATTAAAAAAAATTGTAAATTTAGAAATAATAAAAATAAATAGCATTGTCAAGTGCGTTTGCTGGGGAAATCATGAAGACAAATAGCATACCTTTGTTTCCAAGCCTGTGGATAATTTTATAGTTGATAATACAATTTGAATATAAAGTCAAATCCTATTCTTCAGGCTGTAAGTGAAGTGTCTGCAGGGTTATAAGCAAAACCATGCTGTTACTGCACCTGGATCTGTGACAGAGAGGGCTCAGGAGGCTGGAGCATCAGAGCACCAGCCCTCTGATCTGGTACAGCAAGTGCTCTCTGTTCTGAGAGAGCTGGGAGGAGTCGTGTCCCCAACATCTGCTGTCTGGAGGCTGTATTGCAGACCCCGGGAGCAGGAGAGGCAGTTCCCAAGGAAAGGCATAAGCAGGATTTAAAGGTGTGTCAAGGAGGCTTTTCATGTAACTACCCTGGTTTGTTGTCCTCTTCCCTTTGTCCAGGGGAGTTTATCAAGGCTTTGTATGAGTCAGATGAAAACTGTGAAGTGGATCCCAGCAAATGTTCATCCAGTGAATTAACAGATCATCAGAGCAACCTGAAAATGTGTTGTGAGCTGGCCTTCTGCAAGATTATCAATTCTTACTGGTGAGGCATCTCCCCTCCCCTTCTCCCCCATTAGATCATTTGCTTAGAGGGTACCCATTCCTCCTCTGAAGATGAGAAAACAGCCGTTGTGCAGGGAAATAGCACAGACCCATCTATTTTCTGAGACCGCCTTCATTTCTTTCCTTCCTTCACTACCTTCCTACGTGTGACACCACATAGCAGGTGGAACTTGTGCCCAAATTGAGAGGTTCCAGTCCCACACACCGCACCTGACAGGAGCTTCTGCTGAAATACTCTGCCAAGGGAACTCATGCTGAGCTGTGACTGAATAAGGAGGGAAGAAAGTGAGAAGATCACAGCTTAGCTTGAACTTGGAATAAAAAGCTGAAAGGTTTTTTTTGCAGGAAACTTGCAGACCCTTTAGATCTGTAGAATTGAACAGGAAATCACAGAGAGGAAACACTGTCAGAGAGATTTCTATTACTCTCTGTTTCTGAGTATTAGTGAAAGGAGAAGGGCCTTTCTGCTTCAGGATGAAGCACATGTGAAATACTGAGAGAGCTTAACAAGCAAAATAAACATTTCACTTATGGAGATGAGGTCAGTTTGTTTTTATTATTCTACCCCCCTGCTTGCTCCAGAGTAGCGATGGATTAGTAGTTCTCAGCTTGCAAATCACTGTGTCTGAAAATGGCTTCACTTAACATACATGAACAAGGGATGCTTTAAAGACTACTTAAGTATCACCAGGTTAAACGGGGATCTAAGAATAGATGCCTAATGACATTTCCTAGTCTAGAGAGAAAAGGGGAAAAAACCCAACAAAACCAACAGAGCTGATCATGTTTTCTCACAGATCATTATTTCAGGTGATTGGTCACCAGTTCAACTCGTTGCATCTCATTGCCCGTGCGATTTTATTTCCTTGTTTATTGTTTTTCAGCGTGTTCCCTCGTGAGCTGAAGGAGGTGTTTGCATCTTGGAAGCAGCAGTGCCTGAGCAGGGGCAAGCAGGACATCAGTGAACGCCTGATCAGTGCCTCCCTCTTCCTCCGCTTCCTGTGCCCCGCTATCATGTCCCCCAGCCTCTTTAGCCTGATGCAGGAGTATCCTGACGACCGGACATCTCGCACACTCACACTTATCGCTAAAGTCATTCAGAATCTCGCCAATTTTGCTAAGTAGGTGGTGGCAATAAAACTGAAATCTGTGCCTTTAGGGGTGCAAGTCACCACAGGTTGCTGTGGAGCAAGGAGAGCCATGCTTCGTAGTCGTGTTTGCAGGCAGCTGATTCTCTGGCAGATTGAAGTCAGCTTGAGAAAAGCAAGAAACTTCTCACTTATATGTGAACACCATTCCCCTCGAGACACCTCAGCAGTGAGCTAGATGAATTCTCCTTTTCACATGCAGATTGGGGCAGTGTTGAATTCAGTAGAGAGGACACGGTATAAAACCAGGAAGAGTCATGCATTAACATGTCAGTGTGTATGCTATTGCAAAAGAAAAAAGGCCTGTTCCCACCAAGGATCATGATTTTCCTCCTTTCTTCCTCCAAAATTCCCAGCTGAATGATACAAAGGGCATGGCTTGTCTCTTGCAGGGGAGGGGATGCAGAGAAGGGGAGCAGAGAAAGAGT